ATATCTATTGGTTATATTTTACTTCGGATTTCTGGACTGAAGAAATGGTTCCAGGTCATACTGCAGGATTTAGATTTGGGATCAGCTTAGCGCAGGTCTTCTTCCCACATCATATTTCATGAAGGTATTCTATAAAGGACAATGGATTAAATCATCACGATGTTTAATATAGCACAGAAATTAGAACAGCAGTACCCATGGCTGGCTTGTAAAAAATCTTAGTCTTAATTCAAGGTGGTTTTAAAATGTGTAAACCAGTTTTTAATACATGGAAGTCTTTAATGTGGCTGAATGACAAGAAAGCAAGACCAGTTTATTCACTGGCTTTGGTACTGCTGAAAAATATAATTAGAACAGTGAATAATATTAATTCTAAAGCATTGTATGCAATTTTGCAGTTTTATAAAAATCATACAGTATATACTGTAATTGTCATTTGCTGATCTGGAATAGATGAATCAATATTCTTCATTACTTCCTTTTCTGGTACCGGGGTTTTGAATTTTTTTTTTAATTACAGCAATACTCAATAAATGAATCTTAACATTTTAGAAAGAACACAATTCTGACCTTGGCTGATTCAAATGCAGCCTAACTTTAAAAGTATTCGTTGCTGATAAAATCATCTATAATGAGAATTTGATCTGCAAGTGCTTATAAAGTTAATACTGTAGAGAAATGCAAATTACATAATAAACAGAAATATCTTTCAGTAGTATTCATTACAATATATTTTTGTCTTTAAGAAACTGCCAAGAATGTTCATCTTTCTGGGAAATTTTACCACAAGTCCACAGCCAGTTTTGTGTCTTTTCATGTTTTTCTGTTTTAAAAAAATCTGTCATGTTCGGCTTCACTTTAGCTGAAGGCAACTGTAAAATATTTTTTATTCAATGTTCCTGCTATAATATTTTAAAATTTAATTAGTTCTTGTATTTTCCTTCTCAACCACATCCACATCAAGAATGAATCGTCCCCTTTTTGCAAGACAAACAACTGAATTGTTGGTTAACTTAATTTTTTCCCAACAAGCTGATGTAATTGTAACATCAATAGGATAATGTGAACATACAATTTTACTTACTTAAGTTGTTTTTTTAAAAATAGAATATTCTACTACTAATAAGTACAATTTTACTTTAAAAACTGTTAAAATTCTACTTTTGTTTAAAACAAACCTGTATATTTTATACAAAGATTGCAGATGTGTTTGTGTAATAGTGTGCTTTGTTCCTTTCTCTCTCTCTCTCTGTATGTGTATGGCTGTATATATATATGTATGTATAAGATTGTTTTCATAAAATCATACATTTGGAAGGAATCTTGGAGATCTTCTAGTTCTTCCCAAGGCAGGAATCTTCAAACCATTCCAGAGAAATCTTTGTTTGAAAATTTCCATTGCTTTCAGTCAGGATATTTTTCCTTAGTTCAGGTTCAAAGCTCTCTCTAAAGCTTATACCCATTGCTTCTTGTCTTACGTTTGAGCGCTAAAGGTAGTACTTGACTTACAACAGTTAATTTACTGACCATTCAAAGTTACGACGACAGTGAAAAAGGTGACTTATGACCATTTTTCATAATTATGCCCATTGCCGCATCCCCGTGGCTGTGTGAAAAAAAATTCAGATGCTTGGCAACTGACTCATAGTTGCAGTGCACTGCGGTTGCAGTGTCCCAGGGTCATATGATTCCCTTTTGCAATTTTCTTACAAGCAGAGTCATTGGGGAAGCCAGATCCACTTAGCAACCATGACACTAACTTAACAACTGCAATGATTCACATAACAACTATGACAAGAAAGGTCATAAAATGGGGCAAACTCATTTAACAAATGCTTCACTTAGCAACCGAAAAGTTAGGCTCAATTGTGGTCATAAGCTGAGGACTACATGTGTAAAGAATAAATCCATACTCTTTTCTTTGTGACATCCCTTCTAATATTTAAAGATGACAATCATGCATTTCCTTAGACTTCTATTCTTTTAACCTAGTTCTTTTAACCATTTTTCATAGAACTTGCAGTAATAATTTCTCACCCAATGAAGAGGACTAAGGATCTTGAAAGCTTGCACATTTTTGTGAACTTTTGAGTTAGGTTATTATGCTTCTGTGTATTTTGAAAATTGCCTTCTGACTGGAATAGCCTGTTTGGTGAAGTGGTTAAGGTGCTGGCCTAGAAATCAGGAGACTGTGAATTCTAGTCCCGCCCTAGGCATGAAAGCTGGCTGGGTGACTTTGGGCCAGTCATTCTCTCTCACCCAATCCATCTTACAGAATTTCTGTTGGGAAAGTAGGAAGAGAAAGAAGTATTATGTATGTTTGAGCCTTGTATTAGTTATAAAAAATAAAGATGGGATAAAATTCTAATAAATAAAACAAAATTCAGGAAATTCAGACAATGTAAACAGACATTTTATAAACAATTTAGAAATTCTGTAGTAATGTTAAATATACTATGCTTCTACCCTTTTGCATCTTCTCCAACACTAAAGTTCAAAAGTGATTTGGGGATTAAAAAAACAAACAAACATGTTGCAACGAAACTTCTCATGCTTAGACTAACATACCCTACATTTGCCACATATTCCTCTGCCTGTCCTGTCAGTACCATTCAATATTATCTGTCTCAGAGATTCAGGCTTTGGAGCTATTTTCCATAACTTTGACAAAATAGAGGAATAGCCATGAAGCCAAAATTATTTACAGTAACCTAAAGCAAACTGAACTTCTTATGAAGCACTGACACTACTTTGGAAAAACATAGTCAATCAACAAGCAGTTAGTTAAAAACCATGAAGTAATAAAAGTAGAATACCAAGCGTAGGGAGAAAAAAAGAAGAGGATGGTTCTTTGTTTAAACAATTAAGAAGTCAATCTTCCAAAAGGAAATTGCTTCAAAACAGAAAATTCTAACCATCAAGGCTCTCCCATTTCTATTAATTTTGGAAGGGATGAATACTAAACTGAGTAGAATATGATCTAGTATTTGTATTACATTCTGTGACATCAGAGGTGGCATAGCTTGTGGTATAGACTGCCTGGGCATTTTTAGTACCACCAACCTTAACCAGGAGTTCCATCTTCTTCGTTTGTTTCATATTTATTTATTTATTTGTAAATTTTGGATGCTGCTGTTATTGATAGCATTGTTGAAGTGGTCTTGCAACTACAGTTTGATTTACTGTTCTCATACCAACTTTGTCTGATTTCAGGCCATGATGTACTAAAAATAATGTAACCCTGCTGCTTTTGATACCAAAAGCATCATTAGCCAGGCACAAAATTAATCAACATGGAGAGGATCGGGATAATTCATCATTATGTCAGACGCTGTATTGTTACCCAAAGTGCTGTTCACTCCTGTGGAAAGGATGTTGCTACAGTTTTTCTCTGCCAACTAAAAGTTGCATCTGTTTGGTATCTGTGAAATCCTAGCATAGCAGATGTTTGCCTTTTCTGCCTTCTCTCGCAGAACTTAAAGCCCAGTAATGAATTGACCTCCTTCATTTGAAAGACAGAATAAAAGAATGTGCTGTCTCTGCTGAGAGGAAATAGAGGGAGGGTGTCTCCTGAGCACCAGTGATTCAGGAACTACTTTGTGGAAACCAGGACTATTACAGTATTATGGGGTGGATATTTTGCTGGCTTTAAATACTTAATAATGGTAGTATATGTACTTTATGAAGGAAGCTGAATACCAAATAAGCAAACCTGGCAACTATTTTCTTCTGATCTAGAGATTATGGGTTGTTGTTTTTCAATACCCATGATAGCTATATCCTTTAACTGGATGTATGTGTGTGCTGTGCACATATTAAATAGGGGTTTACAATGGAGAGAAATAGATATAATTGCAGACAGACATAATGAAAAGACATAATAATGAATAGGATACCGCTTTTTTCCCCTCTGAAATGAGAAATGTTTCAGGGATCAAAATGTGTACTGTATAATCTTGAGAGAGAAAAATCTGCAAAATCAGGAACAAGATCATGTATATCATACCCAGATCATGTACAGGTAATCCTCAACTTATGACCACATTTGAGTCCAACATTTGTGTCACTGAGATATTTGTTAAGTGAGTTTTGCCCCATTTTACAGCTTTTCTTGCCATAGTTGTTAAGTGAATCATGGCAGTTGTTAAGTTAGTAGCATAGTTGTTAAGTAAATATGGCTTCCCCGTCAACTTTGCTTCTCAGAAGGTCGAGAAAAGGTGATCACATGACCCTGGGACCCTGCATCCATCATAAACATGAGCCTGTTGCCAAGGATCTAAATTTTGATCATGTGACCATGGGAATGCTGAAACAGTTATAAGTGTGAAAAATGGTCATAGGTCACTTTTCAGACTTTGAACGGTCACTAAACAAACTATTGTAAGTCGAGGACTACCTGCATATCATTCTGGCTGACTACCTGGATATCTTTAAATCTGTCTCATGACAAAGATCCTTCTCTTTGTTTGTAGAACAGAAAGATTCTGTTTGAATAGGGTAGAAAGGAAATATTAAAATAATGTCTTATTTTATATCAGTTTATCTGATTAGGTCTGCCATATTTGAACTGCAGAAATTCAGATAAGCAATAAGGGGCAGCAGTTAGTATTTTCTGTATTACTTTATACATATCTAGTGGTAATCCAGACATTTTCAGTCTAGATATGAGAGGCACATAGGTTATAATTCATTATTCAGAAACAGATAATTAACGGGGTAATATATGCATAATTAGCTAGTTCTGTGCACTTAGGTGAGAGAGCATTTCCTTGTAGCTGAGTGTATAAGCATCTTGCCTTCTGGGTAAAAAGCTTAATCACATGCACCTCTTTAGAAATATCATAATTTGCCTATATTGGACCAACCATTTGATTGGTAATTGTCTGAAACATGTAATTTAATGAAAACGGAGAATGTTGGCTTTCAATATAACAGCAAGTACCTAGGTATTTATTTTGCATTATATTATTATTTACAAACAGAAAGAAGTGAAATAATTGTTCCCAAACAGCAATCTTTTATATCAGGTGAAAATATTCAACAACTGAATAATCTTTAAATGTTACCAACTCTTTAAAGACTCATTTCTTAACACCAGTTTAAATCACAATGATTAAAATTTATTAATGCTTAAAGTCAGATTCAAAGCAAGACATGATTATGTTGATGATTATGTTATTATAACAAGAAGTAGAATCGAATAGTTGTATACCTGGGACAGCCACCCAAATCTAAAAGCAGATATACTAGATTATACCTCCCATTGGCATCGCAATAATTCTGGGAATCATTGCCCAACACATCTGAAAGGAACCACCTTGGTGTAGATGCAGAAAAAGAAATATTATAAGTAACTATAAATCAAACTGGTTTCCAGAAAGATTTATATAGGTAATAAACATGCAGCTACTAATATTTGAATAACTTTTTATATAATTAATACTCGAGCCATCCATGAATCTTCATTCAGTTTCTGCTCTGTCTTTTTCTTCATCTGAAAAACGTGGAACAGATTTCTTTGCCACAACGTTGTCCAATCTTTGTCCTTGAAGATATGGATTTACATTCTGAAAGATGAAATATTTTAAAACACTTAGGAATGGAAAATAATCCAGATAAGCAACCTAGAGTCTTTCGAAGTATATGAGATGGATGAGTATTTAGTTTTTTTAAAATTGTAGTGTAATGTTTTCTTCTTCAAAACTCCCCAAATGGGGCAGGATTTCAATCTATTCAATGAATGGACCAGGTCTTAAGTTTACTGAAACAAAAGTAAGAGAAAGAAGGAAGTAGAAATAAGGATTATAAAAGTGAATGATCTTACTGTTCTATACTCTAGGACAGTGTTCAATATGATCTAAACTGTATGTACAACCCTATATGTTTACATTTCTGCTTGGGAGTGGGGGTATATTTTATCAACTAGGCCAAAAATAATCTTAGTCCAGCATTTTGTTTCTTACACAGCCATCCAAATGTGTAAAGGATGCTACAAAACTGTGTCCTCGATAGCAGTAGACCTTGATAGAACTGTCTTCCATAAATTCACCCATTTTAAAGCTACCCAAATAAGTAGCAAGTTAAATTCTATATATATGTGGTCTAGAGATAAACCTGGGAAAAGAGAAGGGTTGCACTTAATTTTCATTTTTTAAAAAATAGATCGGAATGGCTACGAGTGTACTGAGAAATGCTACTTTAACATGAAGAACTATCTCGCTTATTACAGATGTTTTCTGGAAATAAGGACAGTCCAGGTTTTATATGCTATTTATAACTATCTCAGCAATCTGATTTTATTTGCATTCTTGCCTGATTCGACATTAAGATAGTAAATGAAAACAAGTTGTGTTCTGAAAATTACCCTTTTCTTTCTTTTCGGTTCACCCTTCATTTTCTCAAAGAGTAAATTCTTATTCTGTAAAACAATAAAAGAATACAAAGTGTGGATCAAATTTATAAGCTCTTTTCAAGCAAGACTTTGTGCCATCTAAATATTATCATATGAATATTTTGGAAAGCATTTTGGTAGAGAATGCCATGTTGTTGAAAAAATAAACCACAAGAAAACAGTTGGATTACTGCAGTTATTAATACAATATTTGCATTCTTCTGGGATCCTCATTGTCATCAGCTATTACAAGAATGGGAATATATGATGATTCTAAGTTACACGATGGTTTTAATTTTAGCTGTATCAAGGTAGGAGTAACAGTGGAAAAGTATCAAGCATACTAGAACTCAGGCTTTGCATGAATGAGATCCTTTTCAGTAAATTTGAGCTACAGATCCATCCAGATATTTGCTGTCAGAGACAAGTGCAAGATGGGGACTTTTCCCCAACTCACATCTAGAGACTGATGAACATAGATTAGTTTATCATGCATCATATCTAAACCAGGATAGATCACATATTATGTGTCAGAGTGCTTGCAGCACAACCCAGGAGCACAACCCAGCACGCAGGCTTTGTCTTTTAACAATGGTTTATATACAAGACAGCTATATACATACATATACATGTTAGGGACATAACAGGCAAGCAAGCAGTCTTCATTACTCTGCATGGAGAACTACAATGGAGATAGAACACGAGAGAGAGATGCCTCTCATGGCCTCCCTTATACAGACAGCTTCTTAAAGCAGCAATAACCCTGCTGACCCACCCTCAGTCTTAAAGCGACAATAACCCTGCTGACTCATCCTCATTGCATCAGCATCCCTACAGCAACTGGTCAGCTATTAAGTCTTCATGCTTTAACATTATGCAAAACAGTTATTTGCATGCCCTGTATTACACCTGTGGCCCACAGCAGATTGCCAGTTGTATGGAACTCTCTTTTCAATGGAAGAAGCTAGCTAGAGAGCCTCAAAAGAAAAAGTGAGAAAGCTACCACTATTGCTCATAACCCATCTTTCACCATCTGAGGCACTGTTCCACTCAGCCTGATGAGAAATCTCATCATATATCCAAGGCCTTGGAAACTATTTATCAGTCAGAGAAAGCAACAGTGCATTGGGTAGATTATTATTTAGTATGTGGATTCTATTAAAATGCAAGACCAAACTTGATGACCCAGGGTGGGATAAAAAATAAACACCGTCACAAAAAAACAGGGGAAGCCCCTTTTATTCCTTCACTTTGCTTCCAAGCTCCAAATATCCTTAACTGGAGACAAAAAACTCCCACACAAGCAGTTACAAGAAGGAGGAAATGCCGTTTAAATTATAAAGAGTAAAAAGCAACACAAACCAGGCAAAACAAGGGCATCCAGAGATATCAGAACACATACTGGGAAGGACGCCAAACACAGAAACAATAAACTAGAGATATTTCCACACTTTGTTTCCAGCACTTGCCTGTACGCATGTCTGTCCTCTTATCCAGTTGTCACAACTTCAGCTCATGAAGAGGATCAAGGCCCTCTCCTCCCCAGTAGACCACGTCTCTCCCTTATCCTCTCCTCCCTGCATGCCCTAGGATGGAGAGGGGATGGGCCTGGGTCCTCCTCTGACTGCCCAGCCAGCCTCTGCCCTTCCCCAGCCTCCTCCACAACCCCCGGAGCCACACTTCTACTCCATCAGCTGTTCCTCCTCTCCCTCAGAGTCAGTCTCCACCAGGGGCATGACAGAGACCTAACTGCCTGTTTTATAAAATGTACATTTGGATTGTATCTAATTATACCTCTCCATAAGCAGAAAGACTATCACAGCTGAAATAGATTCTCCCTTCTGATGCTGCCCGGTGGACTACTTGGAAGGATAGAAAGGAGGAAAGAAAAGAGAAGCTCTATTGTAGTCATATGGATGTTTCCGTTAAGTTGTGATTTAAATATGTTTCTTATTACTATTCTAATTGCTTCCCTTGCCACCTTCTATTTTTAATTGATGTTACTGTTACAAATACTTTCTTCTTTTTAAAAAAGAGCCCGATCTACCCTTTTCAGAAATAAACTGTTCTAAAATTATTTTAATACAATGAAGCTAAATTTGATTTGGGGGGGGGGGGGGAAGAGCTTCACAATATTAAGATGGCTATGACTTTCAGCTCCAACCTTTATAACTAATCCCACACATTGCTGTATTTCATAAATGTTGCAAGTTCAAGTACAGGCTGGAATGTCAGACACATGCTCCACAGATTTGATTTCCATTGGAATTATAATGTGGACCCCAAAAAGAAAAAGTTAAAGCAAAAACATTTAGGAGGAATAACTGTGTTTTTTAAAAGCATAATGCGACATAGTGAACTGTAATAAAGAGAGTTACAAAACAGGAATTCCTGAATGAAGTATTTCTGAGAAACAAATACTGTAACAAGCTAGCTTTCTGCCTAACATAATCTGCTGGTGCTTCTCATACTAATTTAAGTCCAAGTTCACAAGATGTAGCTTTTGTTTGACCTCAACTATTTCATCTCTACTGTGCCAAAGAGACAAGGAAATGGGGATGAAGCTGGCCAAAGAGACATTCTTGGCTGCAATAATTTGTGCAAAGTCACTTGGGGGAAAATCAATTTAACATGCAAAACACAATAGGAGACATGTATTTTATTTCCTCTTAAAAGCGGTGTTTTATTTATAATTTCCCTTAAAATACTGTTTTAGCTAAATCTCCTTTACAAAGATAAGTTTTTGGACATTTTTAAAGGTACACTGCAATTAACTTAAAAACAGATTAAGAGCTTAAAAAAACCCCACTTTGCTCAATTGTTTTGGTTAAAGAAATACTTGGTTTTGTTTGGTTATATGTTAAGACCATAATTGATGCAAATATAAGAGCAGGTAGCAACAGAGTTCAGATAAGATAATGTAATCTGAACTAAGATCTCATTCCTGCCGTAAAGGTAAATCTGAAAATGTGGCATGTCCAGAAGTTCTGCAAGGAAAGCATTCTGATTTCTGGTGAAATGTTTACCATCTTTTGAGCCCATCTCCACCAAAGAGGAACTAATAGCATTTTTTGCATCACAGGACTTGGTTTTAGAAAGAGCTAAGCACATCACAACTTCAACCCTACAATATACACAAAACAAGGAGCAGGTTTGCAAAGAATGAACAGATGTCCATAGGGTGACTCCAAATGTATACATTCAACACTCATAGATTTTGAATTACTGCATGCACAATAGTGTTATTACATCTACTTTGGGCATAAAATAGTATTAAAGAGCATCAACAGAACCAATATTAAAGCATTAAGACCATTTGTGTTTTGCACATTTAATTTATATTCAGACATACTTCTAGACTAATTTAGACCTATGAAGTAGAGTAACAAGCATAAACAGGCAGAAAGAAAACAATACCATCTGAATTCAAGTTGCTTTCAAAGTAAGTTGGTAATTTGTTGATGATAACTTTAAAGAAACAATTTCAATGTCAAATTTCTCTAAAATTTCACATGTAAATTTATCATTCATTTACAACCTTTCACATACAAATAATATTGTTGAATACATCCCATGATATCAGCACCAATGTTTTTATGTTAAAAATAGAGTTACTGCTCCAAAATAACTTTTTGCATTAGACAGAATATTCTATAACTAACTCTATTAACTCTTAATTTAAAATTCTGGAACAGGATACTTACACACTGATATTTAAACAACCTTAATTTTCTGTTTTTTTGTGTATTGTTATAAAAACAAAATACTATGATTTGCTTTCAAAAGGACATGGGTGATCCTATCTAGAATTAACATGCTTTGTAAAATCACCCAAAATCTGGTCTGTCTATATCTAATGGAAAACCAGTTTGGATGCAATAACAAAATCAGGGTGGATAAAAATTGAAATTTGTAAAAATTAAAAAAAATCTGATTTTTTTAAAATTTAAATCAGATTTTTTTGATTTTTATCAAATTTATTTTAGTAAAATGCTTTTGGAGTAAAATCTATCTAAAGATAGTTTTCTATTTAAGATACATGAATAATTTAGTTTATTTAGCATGAAATGGAGTTTAGTTATGTAGCTTGAGGCTGTATATTCTGCAATATTGGGATTGTTAGTAAGTCAACAGCAGGTCAGAGGAGAAGCCACTGCGGGACAGAGATGACAGTTGCTGTTTAAAAATTACGACTTAAATTGAGTTGATTTAAATCAGGCCTTTGTACTAGGGATTTAAATCATGATTCAAATCAACTTGATTTAAATCAAATCCACCCTGAACAAAATAGATAAGAATGAATCAAAGAGTCTTTGTCCATGTAAGATAGAGATAAGGCTGGTAGTTTATAAATAGATTCTACCTATTTCACTACCAGAAGGCCAAGTTGCAGGAGTTTATTCACCCACTGTTATTAGAAGTTTAAATGACTCCAATGCTTTAAAATACCTTATATTAACTTTGGCTGGTATGTCACCTTTGAACTTACCTATGCTGGACTTCATTGAGATTATTGCAATATGGTTGTTTTTTAAAAAAACAGTTCAAATTATTCTAAACATGGCTGCAACATCATGAACTAAGATAGGACAATCAAACACCTTACCAACTGCATTTAAAAGACTAATTGAAAGTGCTGTTTCCATTTTTAGAGTCTTCTATAGCTTAAAAGATTCACAGTTAATACATACAAAGTCCTTTAAAGTTTAAAATCTTCAAATATTTTTTCAATTGCTCTCACTAAATGGATCTTTCAAAATAAATTTTTGTATGAATGACTATATTATGAAAAGGGTTTGCCTGTTGCTGTACTTGAAGCAGTTTTAATGTAAAGAGTTTTCATTTATAAAAGTAATTTTAACAGCACATGTATATTATAGAAATCCTCAGACTAAATGTACTAGTAAATGCCCTTCAATTCTTAGACATTACTTAGAGTTTCATTTTATTATTATGTTTACGCTGCTGTTGAGTACAAATTTTATGCATGTTGTATTTTATTTTGTTTTTTAAATTTTTTTGCATTTCTTTATTAGATATTACCTAAATTCTTTAGATTACTGGATAGTACACAAATGTCATAAGTACTAAGCAATACAATCTTCCAATCAAGATTAAGGAAATTCAGCCCACTGATTTCTGCGATAAAGTTAAGTATATGCCCAGCAATTACAGCATCCAAGTGATATTCAAGGGACTCTGGTGGGAAATGCTTTAAATCCCAGCAATATATTTGTGGTCACAAGCAAGTGCTTTATAGTTCTCAAAGTAGTAGTAGTACAAGAAAAGATTATTTGAGTTGGCAAAAATGAATTGTTTGAGTTAAACATCTGGTACATTTACCAAAGATTGCAAAATTAATCAAAGCACAATACAAAAAAAGCGGGGCGGAATTTTGTTGACTGCCTAAAATGCTTAAGAATCGTGTAAGAATCTGGCGGTGTAAACATAAAGTGGAATCAGCTGTAATTGCTGCATCATTATCTTGGACTTTAAGTGGAAGAAATAGTCCCAACCTCTGCATTTGACCATAACACAGATAGATAATCCTTGCAATGCTATTTCTTTATATACACACCCTTATACCGTATATAAATTAAAATTTAGGGTATTTTTTTATAAATAAGGTCCTTCAGAGAACGTTTATTAAAGTACACAGAAATATTTTCATTAATAGTTACATAATGGAGCATTTCACTGCAATAAACCTGATATACATACCAATTTGCTTAAGTTCGGGTAGTCATGTTCTGGATCAAAAAGATGCTGATGAAGTTGGTAGTCTTTGCTGAACTCTGCTGTGTCGGGTGTGTTTTCAAGACATCCATCATCAACTACAAAACATTTTGGAAAAACCTGAGCAGTTTGGCAAGTTTAATTTTTTTTTTTAACACACCAGGAACATATGCAATTACTTTTATTTAAGAAGTATTGGTGGGGGTTGAGCCCTCCTTGCTGATGGACCATAGATCATGACTCTCCGTGGCTATGGTCCGTGCTCTTTTGTTGGAGAGCCCCGATCATCGCAATTGGGGCTGAAGCTGCCTTGGAGGGGCAGTGGAGCAAGGGGAAGCCGCAAGCCAGGTTGAGGGGAGCCGCATCTCCCCTCCTGGGCTTGGTCTTTTTCCCCCCGAAGACAACTGCAGCGGTGGTCTAAAATGGCCACCCAGAAGAGGAGGACTCAGCTGGACTAAGTTCTGTGCAGGAGGGAAGAAAGAGGTAGATAACATCTGAACCGGGACCACTGGGCGACAACTAAACAAAAGTACCCCGGGATCAAGGTAACATTGAATTTTTCAGAAAAGAAAAGTGAGCTGCGAAATTACAAAGAGACAGGAAAAAAAATAAGAAAATATTTTTGACAACTAAGCGGGGCTTTGAACTGGGAAAGGAAGAAGCCGGAACTAAAGATTTAACTAAATTGGACTAAAATATTTTGGCAATAAACAGGCATAAGACAAAGCTGGACTTAAGACTGTCGAAAAATAATAATAAAATTTACAAATTGGAGACTGGATTGTGCTGGAATATTGAGGTTCAAAAAACCCTAAATAAAGAAGAATTTGTATAATGGAGAGTGTCACCTTCTGACAAAAACTTGAGCTCAAACAAAAGGGAAAGCATCCTGTTTCTGAATGAACTCGTGTTGATATAACGTTAAAGAAATATTGAAACAAAGTAAGAATCTTAGAAAGTGAAAGCTGAACCAGAATAAAGAAAAAAGCAAGGAAAGACTGACTGTAGGATTGATTGTTGTTTTTGGTATAGACCCTGGGCTGGAATAATTGAGAACTTTAGAAAACTGAAAGAAGAAAGAAGGAAAGTAAAAGTGTTTTTTGTGGACTTCAACGATCATAAAATATAAGAGTGTGTAATGATGATATCTCTTCGGGAATTAAAAACAGAACTTAAAAATATGAGAGAATTACTACAGGAAAGAGGCAAATCACTTTGCTCTGTGTTAGAAAAAATGGAAATGGTGATTGAAGAACAAGAAAAAAGAGCTTCAGAGGAGGAGTCGACTCAAGGAGAAGACATCTTAAATAGACAATTAACACAAAGAACACTACAAAGAAGTGGGAAAAGAAGGAAGGCTAAAAAATTGAGATTTAAGAAGGCAATCAAAAAAGGGAATACCTGTGAAGTCGGGAAAGGCAGAAAGATCCAGCAGAAAGGGGGAAAGGAAGATATCAAGAAAGAGAGGGATATAAACTGGAATGAGAAAAGATATGTGGAAAAGAGGGGGAGGAGAAGCAGTAAGAAATAGGTGCATGAAATAAAGAAATACAGAAATAGTAAAATATTGAAAATAAATAGTTTCTTCAGAGATAATGGTTGATAAATTAAAAAGGGGATTCTGCAGGGTGACAAGGGGTAACAAGAATGTATCTGCAATTAAAAATATTTAGAAAATAGGGTAATATAGATTATTAAAGGAGGGAAAGATACTGATAACTCTTATTAAAAATTAAGGGGGGGGAATATGTTGCAGAATGCAAATGAAAAGATGTATTGATTATTATTGTAACTTCTTAAAAATAATGGTTTATTGGGAATCAAGATGAGGGAATAAAGGTATATTTTAACCACTGAGGTGTCACACTCAAAGCAGTTTTTTTCTTTAATGTTAAACCTGTATTAATCTAGAATTTACAAAAAGAATGTGTGATGGAAAGGGAATATGACAGACTGAAGAACCACTTAAATTAATAAGTTAACATAGACTATTAAAAGGAAGGAGAGACATTGGTAACCATTATTATTATTATTATTATTATTATTATTATTATTATTATTGTTGTTGTTGTTGTTGTTGTTGTTGTTGTTGTTGTTGTTATCATTAGGCAAACATATATTGTTTATCTTTATTTTTAAAATAAATATTAAAGGATTATATTTGAAATAATTGAAATGAAACAAAAATATGTTTGATTGAGATTAATGAAAGAGGCTAGAATTAATTTGTGTGTTGCTCTCCTTACTGAAAATTTGGAATGGAAAACGTAATAATAGAATTAAGTATGCATATATGAATGTATAACTGCTGTCATATTTGTATGTAAAAGTGATGACCCGGAAATATGTTGTCCACTAAAAAGAGATTTTTGTTTTTAATGTGAAAAACTGAATAAAATTTGTTTTTTTTTTTAAAAAGGAGTATGAAAAAAATACACTTCTTCAAAACAGGACTCTTGGGACGGTTAAATAATTTCCACAGTTCTTTGGAGCAGGTATAATTTGTTTCTGTAGGATCATAGGAGAATTAAAAAGTACAATAAACAGATGCGTGGGTATTAATCCAGTAATGTATATTTATATTTGTACTTATATTTCTAGGCTACATAAATCTTTAATATTTTTTTGTGTGGTTGATTGCAGCCTATATTGAGAATTTAGAGATTCCCAACCACTACCCAGAATATTTATGTGCATATTGGGTGTAATTATCATATCATATAGGATAATGCAGTTATTTAAGTCTTAAGGAATGATTCAAATGATTGACTTTAGTTCAGAAAATCAGAATTTGCTTATTAGATAAATACATCCTCAAGACTGAAAAGTGATTTTATTACCATGCCTCATCAGCCTGATTAAGTGGACCAGACCAGAAAATCAACCCCACAGATAAACTAGAACTAGACTTTGATTTAATACTTAAATGTATTGATTATATAAATACAATCTGTAAATATAATTTCTTAGCCTTTGTTTGTCCCCATTTCCATTGATCCTTCCTTTCCTATAAAAACTAATATTTCAACAAATGCATGTTAGAAATAGAATACTAATTTGGATTCTTTAATCTGTGTAACTGTATGTAATTTTTCTGATGGAAAAAAATGGAATATTTTATAGTATAATTTCAATCTGGTTCCTCAGTATAAAGGAGGAAATCCTTTAGTACAGGGCTGTCAAACTCATGGCCCATGGGCTGGATGCGTCACATGCTGGCTACGCCCATGCCCAGTTTAGTCAAGGGGAAAAAAGTCCCGATATGTCACCTGATGCTACCGTGACGATGCAAGTTTAACACCCCTACTGTAGAGAGTTCATACAACTTACCTGTTTTTCCAATTGGGCACGGGTTTGGAGGATCTGGATATCCTTGATCTTCACTGAAATCCTTTGGTATATTATCACCTGTCAACTCAGCAACAATGTTTGGAATATTTCCATAAGGACCCAAATGCTGCAAACCTTCATGGGCACCACCTAATAAACACAGAATTGCACACAAACACACAAAAAATTACAATCTTTTTCATGAGTTTGATTAAACATCTAAATCAAAACTTATGTTCATTTCTTTACTTCAATGGAGATCACTTAAGCAGGTCACAAAACCTCTGTCTGCTTCTTCTTAACATCATTCCATACTCATTTCTCTTAAGACAATGTATTAATTAATTACTAATTTATTAGATTTGTCAATCGCTTACAAGATAATAGGTATAAGTATAAACATAGTTATGAATACATGAAATGGGTACATATAAGAAAAATAAAAGAAACAATAGGACAGGGACGGTAGGTACGTTGGTGCGCTTATGCATGCCCCCTACAGACCTCTTAGGAAAGGGGTGAGGTCAATAGTAGACAGTCTAAGGTTAAAGTTTTGGGGGTTTGGGGAAGAAACCACAGAGCCAGGTAGAGTATTCCAGACATTGACCATTCTATTGCTGAAGTCGTATTTCCTGCAATCAAGTTTGGTGCGGTTAACCTTGAGTTTGTATCTATTGTGTGCTCTTGTGTTGTTATGGTTGAAGCTGAAGTATTCATAGACAGGCATTATGTCTACTTGGTTGCTACACTTACAGTAGGCACTTGAAATTAAAATTAAACCATGCTCAATAAAAACAGAAAGTAACAACATAATTGTTAAAATGGGAGAATGTATAATAGTCTAAAGAACAAAGGCATGATATAAAGTGGTGGATGAAAGTGATAAGAACAGGGATAGTTTACTAGGATAGATTTTAAAAAATGAATGGTCTCAGTGTAATCTAGCTATGGTTTCCTCAGCTCCTGCTTTTATTATTATATATTCTTTTTTTTGCATTCTGCATATAATTGCTTATCCCAGAAAGAAATAATGGAATGGTGTGTGTGTGTGTGTGTGTGTGTGTGTGTGTGTGTGTGTGTGTAAATAAGTATGTATGTCTAAAATTGTCATTGGTTTAAAAAAATTCCCAGATACTGAGTCAGGCATTTGGGTTAGTTAGGCTACATTTTTCTCTTATTTTAAGGATTCAACTTGTGATTAACCAATGAACAGGTACTTTATAGACAAGGTTTATTGAGTCACTAAAAATGCACCCTCCTTGTATATCAATTTGCCAAGCACAAGTTTGGTGGAAAGACCCAGTTTGGTGTTGTGATTAAGGCATCAGGCTGGGAATCTATGAGATCTATATGTGGCAGTGTAGTATCTTTAAATATCAATATTGTTGAAATGAAGATCAAATATCTTCACTGAAATATGATGAAAAAGTCAAATTTCAATGGTTGTGCTTATATTTTCACATGACTATACAGTATACCTAAAAGCAAGGATGAGTCTGTAATGCAGACCTGTCTTTAAGTAAATGCCAAAATGGAAGAAAAAAATATTTTTAAAAAATGTTTCCCCGTGTTATATTAGTCATGGCAGTAACAAATAAGAGTTTTTGCTCCCACAACTTTTATCTTGATAAGCACAAACAGGCTTTTCAAAGGAACATAAAGTTGATTATTTATTGTGTGTATACAGTTAATATAAAAACATAGAAAACTGATGGCAGAAAAAGACCCAGTGGCCCATTGAGTCTGCCTTTTCAGTTTTTGTTTGTTTTTGTTTACTTTTTACTTTTATTCATATTTTACTATTTTTATCTTATTTTATTTTTATGTATTTTTTTTAAAAAAAAATACGGATGATAGATGTATATTTATCCCAAGCATTTTAAACTCAGTCATTGATGATTGACTTATTACCTCCTCTGGAAGTTGTTTCCAAGCTCCCACTATTCTTTCTGTGAAGTAATACTTTTTAACATTACTTTTCAACTTCCCTTACTTAAAAGTTTTAAATGTTTGCCAAGATTTCCCTGAATAACACTTTTTTTCTACCAATTATAGCCCCTTTCAGTTCAAGATCCCAGAAGTCATCACCTCTTCTTCCCAGAAGACAGTAAAAAAAAACCTCCACAGATTGTGCAAATCATGTTCTTCACAAAACATCATGAACTGTTTATCTTGTGAGGAAGAAGAATGGCAGAAGCAGGCTCTGACTGCTTTCTTACAGACAGTAATTCAAAAACCCTGTTCCTTCTTGCACTGCATTTTTGATATTATGCCTCCTGGAACCTTGCAAATCCAGAATCAAAATAATACAGGTAGAAAGGGACACTTGCTATCACAATGTGTGAACAATTGCCCACTCAATAAATTAGGAAATAGTGGTTAAGAAAGGATAGCCTAGTGGCAATCTAATGCACCAAAAGTTGATTCTGAAAAGAATCTTTATTTCAGCCTTAGTCACCCACAGATTCTCTAGTCTTATCGACTAGCACATGCTGCCAAACTGTATACAGCAGCAATTGCTAAACTTGATGGAAATGGTGAGTTTTAAAGTTGTCACAATCTCTCTCTTACACCCCTTCTGTCCCCGCTTATCTATATCAACTTGGTAAATGGAATCACCATGCACTTCATCCCTTTTTCTGTCTTGGTCATGGAAAATTTATTTTCCCCAAGGTTTCTCTAAAATATATACAACTGATGGAAATGATTCTCCAAAGATGTGTGAAGCTAGTGACGCACTGATGTGCATGACAGTCTGCTAGTTTGTTATACATTTTAAGGATTCGGAAAATGTGGGTTATGACCACCCAGGACTGCCAATTTTTTAGGCTCAGCATTATGCAAGACAAAACAGAAAGCAAAGCCAGCAGGGTGTCACTTCCAAAACCTGCAAGGAAGTCCACTGGCAAGCCCACTAGGGACAGCTTTGGTATTTCAATGATTGAAAATGTCTGATGCAGAGATTAAAATTGAATTATTGAAAAATAAACAGTACAGTTCTTCCTTCCCCAACTATAAATGTGATGAAGTACTATAATTGCATTTAATCATAGAGTGAGGGAGTCACAGGATTGCAAAGGTTGAGAACACTGCCTTATATGATAAAAGGAACTCAGAGGCTATATATCAAATATCTATTCTTATTTCTTAAGCAATTTGTTTTGGAAATTTTGTTCTTGCTAGCAAACGTTTCAGACTGGCATGCTCTGTAAATGATGTAAATCGTGGAAGGTTACAGAATAAAAAAAAGGAAAGGCCATGAAAAATAAATCCATGTTGCTTGGGGCTAGAAATTAGAATGTGTTTTTTATATTTTCAGAGTTTAATTTTAGCAGCCTTCAGGTAAAATGTATCAGATCTCATTATTTAAAACTCATTCAAATGCTTGATCACCAATTCCCAACTGTAGGTTCTTTGTGACAATATATCTGAATATTTGATTTTTATTTTAAATGTATCAGATATGGGATGAACTGCTGAAATTTCCTCTCTATTTTTTTATACTGCTGAAGTAGAAAATTTGGACACTCCTTCCATGAATATTTCAGTTTAGAATAGCATTTTTTCCAAATGCTCTTTTTAAATGCTGAAATTATACAAAATAAAATAGAAATAATATTGACATGAAAAATCAATGAATCTCATTGGTTTCCTTCCCAAGAGAGGTTGTAGAATTCTCAGGTAATCATCATCAAACCAATATATTATCAGAATTATAATTGTAATATATAGAATGATCTTTACAATCTTAATACATAAGTTGTCTCTGAATTTTCTAGATATGAGGATATGCTTCCATATTCAGAACAAAATAGGCTCGGGTTTCCCACTGGTATTATGCAATCAACATAATAAGGATTTTGCAGGAAAATGCTTGATAATGATTTTATCTCCATTATCTTGAATGGAAAACATTTTTTATTAAATTTCTATGAAGACTTTCAGTCATTCAGGTCATGGTTGTCCCAAAGGTGCTTTTTCAAAAGGCAACTGGATTTTCTTTGTTTTTCCTTGAAGACATGAAAAACAAAGAAAGTCCAGTTCCCTTTTGAAAAAAGCATATTTGGGACATTCTTATTAAATATTACAATGTAATACAGCCTTATAGGGAACAAATCTCACTGAGGATTATTACAGGTTATTTCTAGGTAAGCTTGTACAGAAATTCATTTCAACATTTAGATTTAATTTTAACAATCCTCCATTTCAATTTATATCACTAATTATCTCTAAATGACCTTGAGTGACTTTACACAGAAATATCAGTATGAAGTAGGGCTACTGACATCTCTAATATGCTTACTTATTTTTTCTTGTAAAGGAATGAAAGAAAATCTTCCAAAGAAACTGCATTACTAGCAGATAAATTGCTGTTAACATAGAATGATTTGTACTGCAAACAACTTAGACTTATTCTATTACACCCTTATAAAACCATTTGGCTTCCATCCAATTCTTAAGAGGCAGTGCGCCATCTTCTGATTAAAATGTATAAAATACAATTTTAAGCAGGTTCCTAGTTTGTACATCCAGTATTCAACAGCCACCTAATGTTGAAACAAAGAACAACACAGCATTTATCCAGAAAGTCTGTTGGAATATATTTTTAGAAACTTCTATTCCACATGCCTGAATACATTTAAGTGGATTTTAGAAACTCAAAGTTCACTAAAAAAATTAATCTGGGATATAATCAGGGAGTCTGATTTTGACCTTGGCTACTTCAAATATTCACTCAGTTCTATATATTTTAACCCATGGTAACCCGGATTACTGTGCCAGATATATGTGTGTGTGTGTTTGTGTGTGTGTGTGTGTGTGTGTGTGTGTGTGCGTACACATATACATATACACATACATACATGCATATATATGTATATTTATGAGGAGCAGCATCTTCTCTATATCACAGTGTTCTGCTTGGGAAGTGACTTGCTCACAATTGGTGCAAGAATATTATGTAATCTTGCATTACATTTTGAATACTAAACATTTATTAGATTGCCTGGGCAATATATACACTGCTCAAAAGAATAAAGGGAACACTTAAACAACACAATATAATTCCAAGTCAATCACACTTCTGTGAAATCAAACTGTTCACTTAGGTAGCAACTCTGACAATCAATTTCACATGCTGTTGTGCAAATGGAATAGACAACAGGTGGAAAGCATAGGCAGTTAGCAAGACATCCCCAATAAAGGAGTGGTTCTGCAGATGGTGACCACAGACCACTTCTCAGTTCCTATGCTTTCTGGCTGATGGTTTGGTCACTTTTGAATGCTGGCAGTGCTTTCACTCTAGTGGTAGCATGAGATGGAGTCTGCAACCCACACAAGGAGCTCAGGTAGTACAGCTTATCCAGGATGGCACATCAATGCGAGCTGTGGCAAGAAGGTTTGCTGTGTCTGTCAGCATAGTGTCCAGAGCATGGAGGCGCTACCAGGAGACAGGCCAGTACATCAGGAGATGTGGAGGAGGCCATAGGAGGGCAACAACCCAGCATCAGGACCGCTAACTCCGCCTTTGTGCAAGGAGGGACAGGAGGAGCACTGCCAGAGCCCTGCAAAATGACCTCCAGCGGGCCAATGTGCATGTGGCTGCTCAAACGGTCAGAAACAGACTCTATGAGGGTGGTATGAGCGCCCGATGTCTACATGTGGGGGTTGTGCTTACAGCCCAACACCGTGCAGGACGTTTGGCATTTGCCAAGATTGGCAAATTCGCCACTGGCACCCTGTGCTCTTCACAGATGAAAGCAAGTTCACACTGAGCACATATGACAGATGTGACAGGGTCTGGAGATGCTGTGGAGAACGTTCTGCTGCCTGCAACATCCTCCAGCATGATCGGTTTGGCAGTGGGTCAGTAATGGTGTGGAGTGGCATTTCTTTAGGGGGCCACACAGCCCTCCATGTGCTCGCCAGAGGTAGCCTGACTGCCAGTAGGTACTGAGATGAGATCCTCAGACCCCTTGTGAGACCATATGCTGGTGTGGTTGGCCCTGGGTTCCTCCTAATGCAAGACAATGCTATACCTCATATGGCTGGAGTGTGTCACAAGTTCCTGCAAGACGAAGGCATTGATGCTATGAATTGGCCCGCCCGTTCCCCAGACCTGAATCCAATTGAGCACATCTGGGACATCATGTCTCGCTCCATCCACCAATGCCACGTTGCACCACAGACTGTCCAGGAGTTGGGGGATGCTTTAGCCCGGGTGTGGGAGGAGATCCCTCAGGAGACCATCCGCCACCTCATCAGGAGCATGCCCAGGCATTGTTGGGAGGTCATACAGGCACATGGAGGCCACACACACTACTGAGCCTCATTTTGACTTGTTTTAAGGACATTACATCAAAGTTGGATCAGCCTGTAGTGTTTTTTTCCACTTTAATTTTGAGTGTAACTCCAAATCCAGACCTCCATGGGTTGCTAAATTTGATTTCCATTGATAATTTTTATGTGATTTTGTTGTCGGCACATTTAACTATGTAATGAACAAAGTATTTAATAAGAATATTTCATTCATTCAGATCTAGGATGTCTTATTTTTGTGTTCCCTTTATTTTTTTGAGCTGTGTATATATACAGCCTTTTAGTACTATAGATATTGCATTGTTATTTTATAATTCCCAGCCACCAGATTTGTTGGCTTTGCTTTCTTGGAATAATGGATACTTTTGTTCAATGAATTTGGAAACCATCAGCTCCAGGAAAGGGTTTTGTGTAATTTCCTGGTGTATAAAATATGGGGTACTATAAAAGCTATAAAGATGTTCCTGTTGCTGGCTGGGACTTCTGGAACCAGTAGTCCAACAAATTCATACGTTTGAGGAAAATCAGGATAGAATGTCAATATTGTCTTTAAAATAACAATTTCATTAATAATTCAGAGAAATAAATGTTTACCTTCAATATTTTGTGGACCTATGAGATTCATTGCTTGATGAGCTGGATATTCCACTCTGGGTCTTGCAATGCCCAACTGTTCCATCACACCATGCAGAAGTCTTTGGATGTCAGCTTCAGAAACTCTGTCTGGGCTCCTAGCACTGTGACTGAAAGTCAAAGCCAGCCTGCAGGCCAGCAGAAGGGACAGGCTGCAGAGTAAAGTTGAAGTCATGGCGATACCCATCTATATTTTGTAACCTATGTCAAGACAACAAATAACTCAATGAATGATGAAATGAAATGCCACATTCCTCCTTTTCCCCAACATCTGAATTATGCTTGGGTCCAGTGGAGCAGGCATTTGGGAAAGGCTGTTATAGAAGAATACACAAAGGGATTTTAAGTCAACCTTACCACAAATATCAAAAGTGAAGTTCATTGTTATCCATTTCCACATGGACAGGAAAGTAAATAAGGGCCTGGTAAAAATCAATTTGAAAACTGACATTCGGTTTCTTAGAGGCTTTTACGAGGAAGCCTGCAATATATTCACTGAATTCTGTCCTGGTTTTCTTTATTTAGTTGTCAACTTTGTGGTTCTGTGAGACTTTAGCAAATGCAAAGAAGAGGCTGGGACCTTAGACTTTGGGCTACTTACTTCCACATTAACAGGATTTCAAATTTTGGTCTTGGTTTGTCTCTAAGCACCAGTCACTTTCCAATGAAATATTTATTTATTTATGTATTTATGTATGTATGTATTTATTTATTTATTTTTGTCAATTGCTTACAAGATAATAGGTATAAGTATAAACATAGTTATGAATACATGGATACATATAAGAAAAATAAAAAATAAAAGAAACAATAGGACAGGGACGCTTATGCACGCCCTCTACAGACCTCTTAGGAAAGGCGTGAGGTCAATAGTAGACAGTCTACTTTACTGTATTTTATTTTCTGATATATATTTTTTTTGCCAATATGTAGGACAGAGCACTTATTTGTTTTTGGGGTTTGGGGAAGAAACCACAGAGTCAGGTAGAGTATTCTAGACATTGACCACTCTGTTACTTAAGTCATATTTCCTGCAATCAAGTTTGGTGCGATTAACCTTGAGTTTGTATCTATTGTTTGCTCTTGTGTTGTTATGGTTGAAGCTGAAGTATTCATTGACAGGTAGGACATTGCAATGTTTGATTTTATATATTATATTTAGATCGGACCGAAGGTGGCGTAGTTCTAGGTTATCTAGGTCTAGAATTTTGAGTCTGGTGGCATAAGGTATTCTGCAACGAGTAGAGGAGTGGAGAACTCTTCTTGTGAAATATTTCTGGACTTTCTCAACTGTGTTAATATCAGATATGGAATGTGGGTTCCAGACTGATGAACTGTATTCAAGTATTGGTCTAGCAAATGTTTTGTATGCTCTAGTTATTAGTGTAATATTACCAGAGAAAAAGCTACATAAGATTAGGTTAACAACTTTTAATGCCTTTTTGGCTATGTAGTTACAGTGGGCTCTAGCACTTAGATCATTAGAGATGAGTACTCCAAGATCCTTGGCAGAGTTTGGATCATCAAGATCTTGACTATATTTTATTTTATTTTACTGTATTTTATTTTCTGATATATATATTTTTTGCCAATATGTAGGACAGAGCATTTATTTGTTGATATTTGAAGTTGCCATTTGCTTGACCATTCTGATACATAGTCGAGGTCTTTTTGAAGGGTAGCAGTATTGTCTGTGGTGTTGAATAGCTTTACATCATCAGTGAAGGGAATGCAGTTGATCTTCATATGATCACAAAGGTCATTTATGTAGAGTATGAAAAGAGTTGGTCCTAGAACACTGCCTTGGGGGACACCACTGTTGACAGGTACAGAATTTGATAGGACGCTCCCAATTTTAACCATTTGTTGTCTGTTTGACAGGAATGCAGTTATGCAGGAGTCCAGAGAAACCGTAAGATTTTAGTTTTAGGAATAGTTTGTCGTGTACCACTGAATCAAAGACTTTACAGAAGTCTATGTAGATTGCATCTATTGTTTTGCCCTGATCGAGTTGTGCAGTCCATATGTTTTTGCAGTGTAAGAGTTGCAGATTACATGATAGTTTTTTCCTGAAACCAAATTGTTTATTAGAGAGTAGGTTGTTTGTTTCTAAGTGGAGGATGATGGATTGGTTAATAATTGATTCCATGACTTTTCAGGTGACGCAGCATAAAGAGATTGGTCTGTAATTTTCAACTAGTCTGGGGTCTCCCTTTTTGAAAATGGGGATGACCATGGCTTGTGACCATGGTTTTGGCAAGGAGCTGGTCCTGAAAGATTTTTCAAAGATTATGCTTAGAGGTTCGGCTATGGCAGTGGATAGCTTTTTTAAGAAGTGTGCACATATTCCGTCCAGTCCAATAGATGGAGATGGTTTTAGATTGCGTAGTGTTTTTTCAACACTGTCTTCTGTAAAATTGACATGTAATATTATGTAATATGTAATATTATATATATTATGGTGCTATGATATGTAATATTATATATGTTATGTTATATGTAATATTATGTTATCATATATATATATATATATATATATATATATATATGTGTGTGTGTGTGTGTGTGTGTGTGTGTGTGTGTGTGTGTGTGTGTTTATGTATATTCTTAAATTTTCACGGGTACTTACATGTATGGTATTCAGCTTTGTTTGGGTATTTTCCCATGTCATTATAGTTGTGCTTTTAAAGTTGTAGCAATGTTTAGGCAGAATCTCATCTGCCATCATCAGGCTTCTATATTTCTATGCATTTCCAGATGAACACAATACAGAAGCCTGATGATGGTAGATGAGATTCTGCCAAAATGTTGCTACAACTTTAAAAGCACAACTATAATGACGTGGGAAAATACCCGAACAAAGCTGAATGCCATACATGTAAGTACCCGCGAAAACTTAAGAAAACAAATATACATATCCATATATCCATATATATATATATATATATATATATGGCATTCAGCTTTGTTCGGGTATTTTATATACATACATACATACATAAATACATAAATACATACATACATATATATTTTATATATTTTATATATATATATATATATATATATATATACACATACATACATACATACACATATATACACATACACACACACACACACACACATATATACACACACATATATACATACATAGATATATGAATATGATATGTGATATTATGGTGTTCTTTCTCTGTTCCAAGCTGTGCTGTGTACTAGGAAACAACTGGGCTATTCGGCTAGGAAACAGCTTCTCAAATACGTCAAGAGACTGGCAGCCTATCCCATTCGCCGCATCAATTAAATATTATCCTCTCTTTGCCTTTCTGTCTACATTTGGCTTTGGTTCCTGGAGGTCGAAGGCTCCGTTTGGTTCCCTCAAACGAGATTCCTCTAAATGGCAGCAATGATTAATCAGAGAAAATCCAACAAACGAAGCTGATGTCAGCCTTGTGCTCCTAAACGTTCGCAGTCCAACCTTCAATTCAGCTTCTTCACGATGCATGTTGGGAAAAAGCCATGTCCTATGAAGCTCGGCATATGCACCATTATTATTATTATAAAAGAGGGGCGGGGGACAAAAAGAGAGCGCAGTTGGGGAAATATTCACTAATACTCATTTTAGCATGTTACAGACAGGATTTTATTCCTTCTAACTTAACTGTTTTCCAGATGCATTTCTTCATATACAGATAATATAATAATAATATACAGATAATATACAGATAATTTCACCAGTTAGGAATCGGCTAAGAAAGGTCGGTGTGACCCGCTCTCCTCTGCTTTCTATTTAACTCCTCTCAGAACTGTATTATTTCTCTTTAAAAAAATCACAAAATATCTCGTCATAAAATTGAGGAGAACGATACTAACAATAAAAGAGTAAAGAATAGCCAGCCCACGGCGCCCTCTTTCTATTGCAGAAGCCCCACAATATAAAAACTTTAGCCCGCCATCCCCCTCAGCCCCTCTCTCTGAGCCGCCCGGGCATCCCTTGGAGCCGTCACAACCGTCGCACGTTGCACTCACCGCTTGGATCCGGTGAGCACGATGGGTGCGCTCTTCAGGCCCTAGTGCGGCTTGCTTGCTCAGGCGCGACGTCAAAGGAACAGCAGTGGTTGAACGCGTGCGGTGGGGGAAGCTCCGTGGTCACAGCTTTTCCTCTTCCATCCACCGCTCTCTCTCCCCACACCGCCTCCCGTCGTCGCTGCTTTTTCTTCCGTCCGTGGCGTGTGCGTGAACTGTTGCCAGGATTCCCGGAGGTGGATCGCAACCCCTGACAGCTGGGCCTTTCCGCCTCCCATTACCCAGGCTGCGGGGAAGGCCCTCAAAAGCAAGGATGCTCAAGCCGACTGTTTGATTTTTTTTTTTGCTAATGTCTCTGGAGCTGATCCTTCCAGATACATGATTTATAGAAATGAAAATTCAAGTCAGCAAATGCCAACCTTCTCCTACTGATAGTGTAAATGTGTTATGCTAGAATTGCCATCATAACTTGAGGACAGCTGAGCAAATATTTCCTTTCCAGTCTCATATGTTACTGTGGCTCTTCTCTCTTGATGTCTTGCCTCCCCTTTTCCCCCCCCACAAGAATAAGATGTTAGACTGAACGTTAACCCAATGAGATATGAACATGGATCCGTTCAATCCCACTCACATTGTTTATTGTAGCTGCAGTTCTGTACTGTATCATTCTACAATCTTGGTGCCTTTAAGAAGCGTGGCCTTGTTTCCAGAAGTTTTAGCATTAGCCATGGGGGATAGCTATGGTAACAAAAGTATGAGCTCTTTGATGCTATTAAGATTAGAACTCTTTGATGCTATTAAAATTAACTATATGCTGGAGTGAAAATGTTCATTCTCCCTAGAATGCTGTAGGGTAAAATAATGTAGATCCTTTCAGATATGAAAGAAAAAACATGGTTTGCATTCAGTATCTGACTTTATATTGTATTTCAGTTCAAAAATAAAGAATTTTATACATTCCAGCCAGTATTTGTTCCATATAACTAATGTGTTTGCTAAAGTTAAGCACAGAGCTTCAAGAGACAAATGTATTTTCTGGATAGAGTTAAAGCTTTTAAATCCCTACCACATGATTTGTACATCAACTAAGACTGTTGGCTTAGTATGCTGCTTGAATTCAACAATTTGCAGTTTATTCAACAATGCATGAGATAAAGTGTAGATTACAATGGTGCATGAAACATAACTATTCCGTTTTGTTAATGATCACTTGATCAGTGTAAAATACGTCAATGGAGATTCTCAGTCATCTGGTCATGGTTGTCCCAAAGATGTTTTTTCAAGAGGCATCATGGTTTTTCTTGCAAGATATTTTGCTTCTCATCCAAGAAGCTTCTTCAGCTCTGACTGGATGGTGGGAAATGGTAGGATTTATATTTCTTGCAGATAGATGGTAATTTGCATTCTTTTAGAGAGTTGAGGCCATTTTGGAGATTTATCTGTATCCTCAGAGTCACCTGAGTAATGCAAATGGGTGTGGAGTCTTAGAATTGCTGAAAGGCTCCTCATCCTTCTTGGATGAGAAGCAAAATGTCTTCAAAGAAAAACAAGGAAGTCCAGTTGCCTCTTGGAAAAGCACCTTTGGTTTGGCTTTCGCACAATGCTGGAAACAACCCTATACTCCACCAGAGGAAATGATTATTTAGAAAATATCAAGCTATACAGAAATGGATAAACTAACTATCACTAAAAAATAAAGAACTATCAGAGTACTATGAGTTGGAACTGTTGGTATGAGTGGATAGACCAAAGATAGACATATAATAATAATTGTAAATGAGGAGTGACAATAGTAGTAATTAAATATTCACGCTAAAGATTAATTGCAAATATGGCACAAAATAATGAGATAAATAAGAAACCACAAACTGTTGATGATGTAATTGTTTTTAATCATTTACCCTTTTTTCTTTGTTTTTCTTTCCTTTCCCAATCTGTGTGTTGTTTGTATATTTTAACTGTAAAATTTAATA